CAAACCCACCAGCCACTCCTCGGAAGGAAGGTTGGGCAATCCTACTTCTGTAGTGATACTGCCTCAGAAACCCAAGGAGGCTCGGGTCGCTATGAGTAGGGGCCGAATCGACAGCACATAAAAACAACAACAACAGTATCTGCTGGGCACAGAACTAGAATCAGAACAATTTTGTGTCCTGTGCATACAGTAGGTGCTCGGGAAACACCCACTTTAATATATGAAGAAGCTTGTCCTTTAAGAATAAGCCATCACTTTAGAAATTTCCTGTTTGGATGGAATTGCATCCCAACTTTGCCTGCACTTTAAGGAGAACATATTTTCCTTCTCTGAAGAGGACAGGGGGCTTCAGGTGACACTCCTGACTTCGGAGTTCAACTTGGTGTGAAAACAGTCCACTGTAAGGAATCACTGAGGACACACATTGGCCTTTCCCTGCCTCCCTGTGAGGAAATTTGTACTCTCTCAGCAGTCTTCCTTTGAAGAAGGCCAGGAGGGCGGAGCCCAGCCCCACCTCCTGCTCCTCTAATGATCTGACAGTCTAGTAATGTGCACGGCTGACAGCCGAGCCGCCAAGCTGCTGAGTGGCTCGGCAGAAAGCAACTTCCTCCTTGAGCTCCTTGTCCAGGCAGCGCACCTTCACATGTTAGTCTACTCTGTAACCACCATCGCCCTCCCCTTGGAGGCCCTTGGTGGCGCAGATGGTTGGTGCTCAACTGACAGACGGGTGGTGGAGAATGGCCCCTTGCGCATGTTCAAGTGCTAAGTGTATGTTTGCTATAGTTATGATTCCTGGCTGGCTTTTGTAATACATTGCGTTAGGTTAGAGCTTGTGCGTGGGTAGGATAAAAATGGAAAAGTCTGGAGAAGGAAGAGACCATAAAGGGAGCATCTTCAAGAGCACGACAAAATGGCCCGTGGGCCTCAGCCAGTGAAAAACTTCAAGGTCAACACTATGCTCAGTGATTTCACTCACTTGAGCGTGGTGGCAGACATTTTGCAGGTTTCTAGAACCAGCCCTTTTTTTTTCGAAATCTGGATTTGAAGTTTAACTGGTGTCCATTATCTGAGAAACTTACGACTTCTGAGATGTCTAAAAGGGTGTCGCAGCCAGTGGCGGAGGAAGTCAAGCATTGGACGGTGTTTGCAGTAACTACATTGTTGTGTTAGGTGTCATCCAGTCCATTCCGACTCCTAATGGCCACCAGAGTAGAACTGCCCCTGGGGTTTTCTAGGCTGCAAGCTTTAGGAGAATAGATCACCAGGTCTTTCTCTCATGGAGCTGTTGGGTGGGTTTAACCCACCCGCCTTTTAGTTAGCAGCTGAGGGCTTAACCGTTGTGTCCTCAGAGCTCCTTTGCAATAACCAGATAGCAAGCTTCCCCCCCCCCCCCGTTTTCTGGGCTGACAAAGGACATGGACATGAAGCCATCACAAATCTTACAAGTTAAATTGTTCTTCCACCCAGGAGAACTGGCTTCCAGTTCAGACAGCAGTAATGCCTAAATCACTTAGAGATTATCTAAACATGTTTTCCCTGCTCTTATAGGTCAAGGGCAAAACTGTGAGTCAAAGTCAGGCATTATATGTGAATAAGGTTGAAATGGGATAGTGGAAATCTCAGTGGCAGGACTGGCTGGTCAAGTGCCTCAAGCTTCTCCTTTCCCCTCCCAGAAATAATCCTTCCCCTTGACCCCTCTTCTGACCCAGCCTCTCCTGGACTCTAGCTTGCCCGCCAGTCTCATCTACCAGCTGCCGTCAAATTATCTCCTACTCTGGTGGGGTAGTGCCTAAGGCATTTGGCTGCTAACCAGAAGGTTAGCAGTTCAAACCCACCAGCCTCTACTGTAAAGATTTACTGCCTCAGAAACCCAGGGGGGGTTGCTGTGAATCAGAATTGACTCAATGGCAGTGAGTTTGGTTTCTGGTTTTGGGCCATGTGTGTCACAGTACAACGTGCTCCATGGATTTTCAGTGGTTGAGTTTTGGGAAGTGAGTCACCAGGCCTTTCTTCCGAGGCACCTATGTGGACTGGAACCTCCAACCTTTGGTTAGCAGCCACCCAGGGAATCCTCAACCTCATCTCCCTGAAACCTGTTGCTGTTGAGTCAATTCCTATAGGACAGAGCAGAACTGTCCCATTGGGTTTCCAAGGCTGTAATCTTTATGGAAATAGATTGCCACATCTTTCTCTTACAGAGTACGTGGTGGGTTTGAACTGCTGACCTTTTGGTTAGCAGTCGAGCCCTTAACCAATGTGCTGTCAGGGCTCCTTCAACCTCATCTACATGCCTTCAATCCACACTTAAGTTTTCCCAAACTGCTCTTAGCTAGAATCTATCATTCTGCTTCAAGCCTCTCATTGCAGATCCATCCTTAACCCTCCCCACCCCCATCCCTGCTCCATTTCTCCTGCTTTTGAATATATCCAGGGCTCCATCATTTCTTATGTATATTCTAACTGATTACTCTTTTCCCAATATCACCCTGTTTCTGTTCCTACCTATCCTCTTGCTGAAGCTAGCTTTCCAGCATGAAGAAAAGTGTCCTGTGAAAATCCTCTGTAGCTTCTAAGAGTTCTTGGATTAGGCCACACCTCATGACCATAGCTCTTCATGGTCTAGCTGCTGCCTCCCTTCCCAGCCTTATCTCCCACCTCTTCTCTATATGCCCCCATGCCTTCACCCCCTAATACCTAATACCCCTGGGTGCATCTGCCCTCACAGACATGCCTTGAATCAAAACCTCTCTTCCAATTTCCCTGCCTGGAGATAGCCCATTGTCTATGCAAACATTAGGCACTTGTCCCGTTTTCTCTATGCTCATCCTCCTGCCCACCAAGCCCAGAGCTGTAACTCCTCTATAAGACCCCACTGACACACTGATCATGTTGTACTTAGTTGCTGGTGTGCTGGTCTGTCTTCCTCACTGGCCCGTCTGAGAACTGAGCCTATCACTTGGGAAAGGTTCACAGATGTGTGTGGTGTGAGCGAAGGGAAACTAGTGCAGACAGGATCTCATCCGTCTCCGTAGCTGCAGCATCCATCCTACATGCCTGGTACACAGTGGGGGCTTAATTGTTGGTGACATTAAAAAGACATAGTTTGGGACACTGGAAGAGGCACTTTGTCTCACTTACTTTGGACATGTTTTCAGGAGGGACCAGTCCCTGGAGAAAGACATCATGCTAGATAGACGGTCAATAAAAAAGAGGAAGACCCTCCAGGAGATGGATTGACACAGTGGCTGCAATCATGGCTCAAATAGCAACCACAGTAGGGTGGTGCAGTGCTGGGCAGTGTTTTCTTCTGTTGTATGTAGGATCGCTATGAGGAGAAACCACTTCAGTGGTACCCAACAACAACAGAAGACACAGAGGAAATATGACTTGGTTCCTGCTTTTAGGCATCTTTTATTATTAGAGAGACAAGGTCTTAATTAGGGAAACAATTAAGAGATAATACGAAGCAGTGCTCTGAGCAGGCTTGAAGTCTGTACCACCACATGCATTAAGAGGAGCAAATGCAAAGGCCCTGTGGTTCCTTTCAGTCTAGCTAAATATCACCCACTACATCTAGGAATGAAACCACGAGGGGAGCACAGAGCCAGCATTTAAATACAAGATCCCCCACACCTGTGAACACATTTTATCCTGCATATGTTCCCATGTTGCTTAAAACATGAATAGCTGTTTGTTACATGTTTGGTTTTCTCCACAAGAGTCTAGCTCTCTGAGTATAAGGCCAACATGCTTCTTCTTCCTCCACAGGCCTTAGTACATCTAGGCTGTGCAGCCAAGATGAACAAATTCCTATAGAATAACTGCTATTTGTCCTTAAAGCAAAACTATCCTTTGGAAAAACAAAACAA